TGGCGCAGGTGCCGAGCAGTCGGCGACACCAAGGTGGGAGACCGACCGCGCTCCTTAGACGGGTGTCGCACGTATCGCATCTCGCCCGAGCTCTCCAGAGGAGAGGGTTGTCCCCAGCGGCGTGGCCTGGGCCCCACTGGCCGATTTACCCCCCTTGATGGGGATCTCGGCCGTCCCCTTCGGGTTTCGAGGGGTGCACCCCCAACTGTGGGGGTCATTTGGTGGGGGTCTCTCTCGAAGGGGATGGGGATGAGGACGGGGTTCGTTTAAACGATACCGGTGAATATCGCCCAACTGCGAAAATGTTGAAAACAATCGGGGTGCCGCAGTTTCAAGCGAAAGCGGCTGGCCAGCTCTCCTCGAAATCAGGGCTGTATCGGAGGCAGCGATGTGGTCCGATGAACCGTCGGCAGGTAATTTTCACTCTTGTATGCTGCCAGTTCATCGCACGGGACAGCCGTTGCCTTCCCTTCGTCGTCAGGCGACCGCTCGATACCATTAAGTTCTTCCGAGGCACCCCATGGACGCGGCGCACCACGTTGTCCAGCTAAGAGCTCAGATGATTGTTGGAGGCCTGGGAATGGGCACCAACACCTACACAGGGGGTTGCCTCCACAGGGGGAAGGTGATCCTAGATTTCGGTGTTGGTGGTAATACGTCGGTCAGCTTGGATGCCAGAATACGTAACACCCCGCAATTGCGGATAAGAGTGAGGGGCGGGCGCGGGCGACGCGGGCGTCGTCGAGTCGGCGGACCTCGTGGCCCCCACCTTCCCTGTCGATGACGCTCTCCTCCTCCTCCTCCTCCTCCTCCTTCTCCTCCTTCTCTTCCTCGTCCTCGTCCTCGTCCTCATCGTCATCGTCATCCTCCTCCACCTCGTCATCCTCCTCCTCTTCTTCCTCGTCCTCCCTCTCCCCCCCTCGTCCTTCCATCATCGTCCTCCCATTGTCGTCCTCCCCCTCATCGGCCTCCATCATCGTCCTCCCATTGTCATCCATCTTCATCCTCCTCCCCCTCCTCCCCCTCCTCGTGCTCCTCCTCCCCCTTCTCCCCCTCCTCCCCCTCCTCGTCCACCTGCTCCTCTTTCTCCACATTCTCCTTACATCCTCTCTTTTTCCGCGTCCTCCTCGTCCCCTGTTTACTTCTCCTGCCTCCCCCTCCTTTCCCAAGATAACGGCAACGCAATCGTTTTTTCCATGTTATGCTCCCCGACTTCTCTGATCAAGGCAACTCACCAGGGCCAAGTTGCTGGGCGGGCTGGTGTGGATGCGCGGGGCTTGAAGAGGTCGTTGCGGGCTCAGACGGCATGCAACATTCCGCCGCCGCGCTTGTGCGGCATTGGTTTGTTCAGTGAACGTGGTTTAGGTCGCGGGTGGGTCGCGGGCTCTCCACCTCCACCTGGAAGGAATGCAAAATCAGCCCGCCGCAGGCGCCGAAAAAATGGTTTGTATGCCCGCCGCAGGCGCCGAAAAATGTGGTTTGTATCCTGGACGTGGTTTGGGTCGCGGGTTGGTCGCGAGTTGGTCGCGGGGTGGGTCGCGGGCTCTCCACCTGGAAGGAATGCAAAAAAAGCCCGCCGCAGGCGCCGAAAATTGTGGTTTGTACCTTGAACGTGGTTTGGGTCGAAAGTGGGTCGCGGGTGGATCGCGGGGTGGGTCGCGGATGGGCGCGGGTCGCGGGTGGCGTCGCGGGTCGCGGGTGGGTCGCGGGTCGCGGGTGGGCGGGCGCGGGCGCGGGCGCGGTCGCGGTCGCGGTGGGTCGCGGGTGGGTCGCGGGTGGGTCGCGGGGTGGTCGTGGGTCGGGGTGGGTCGCGGGTGGGTCGCGGGGTGGGTCGCGGGGTGGGTCGCGGGGTGGGTCGCGGGTGGGTCGCGGGTGGGTCGTGGGTGCGGGTGGGACGACGACAACAAACAACGACAACAACAACAACCAACAACAACAACAACAACGAGAATCCGCACCGCGGAATCCCACTTCAGCCACGCACCCAGGGACAGTGAATGACCGTTCGGCCCCCTCACTCTGATTATCACCATCACCGAGATCGGGATCTTCTTCCCTCGGTGGAGGCACACCGCCGATAGTGGGGTTGGTGTCAACACCTAGGCCTGCGAGATTACAGCGAAGATCACGAGCTGCGAACGAAATTATCCGCATCCACGCCCTCGCGGTCTGGACTCACGGGGGGGGAATCCCGTGTACACGCGGTCGCATGGATACACTCCGCGCGGGGCAGCCGCGAGGGAAAAAAACACCCTGTATCTCCGCGCTGGTCGCGGCCCGGTGGTCCAGCCCGCGAGACCACGGATAATTGCTCGGCGGCGAACGAGGGGGGGGGGAAGTGAGAAGAAGAAGGCCCTCTCAGAATCGGGGAGACGTAAGACTCGTGTACGGGGGACTCGGGTTGGCCTGACGGGGCCATCATGAAAATGACGATGGCCCGATCTGAAATTTGACGCGAGCTCCCGCTGCAAGCATACCACGAAAATCGGACCGTCAAAATCCAGGACGCGCTTGTCAACAGAACGTCGGCAAACCCGAGCTCTGGCTTACTTGAGTCTTACGTTTCCCGACAGGCGGCAGCGGGGCTTCTCAGAAGCCCTGGCGCCTTCTGAGAAGGCGCTGCTGTCTTCAGAGAAGGCTTAGAAGACTTCTCAGAAGGCTTGGGGAACTTCTGAGCCTTCGGAGACGACCGTCTCCTTCTCACCTCCTTCCTCCAGCGTCATAAACATAAACTTTTAGCGCTCCGCCCGATCTCTTGGATCCGCGCTGGACCCCCTCCCTGGCGCGCAGAGCGCGCCTGGGGCGGCGCCGGAGGCGCCGCTGAGGGGGCCCAGCGCAGATCCAAGAAATCCGCGCGGAGCGCCAAACGCCGTGTTTTCCCCTTCGATTCTCGCCAGTGCATTTCGCTTGTGGATGTCATGACACTGGACACACAAACAATCCGATCATTGATTTAAAAATCGTTAGTTGTGTTTATGGCCTTTGTTCTTCTTCGAGAAGAGCGGCTCGACCCCAGCGCGGAGGAGCCGCCGATGAGACGCCAGGCCGCCAGCCCCGAGGGGAGCGCACCCAAGGCCGCCGGCTCCGAGGGCGGACGTCTGGACTCGTGGGGCTCACGGGGGGCCGCCCGCGTGTGCTCACGGGGGGCAGGCGGGCAAATCCACGAGCTCCACCTCCTCCTCCTCCGCCTCCTCCTCCTCCTCCGCCTCCTCCTGCCCCTCCTCCTCCTCCTGCCCCTCCTCCTCCTCCTCCTCTTCCTCCTCCTGCCCCTCCTCCTCCCACTCCTCCTGCCCCTCCTCCTCCTCCTCCTCCCTCTCCTCCTCCTCCTCTCCTGCCTCCTCCTCCTCCTCCTCCTCCTCCTCCTCCTCCTCTTCCTCCTCCTCCTCCTCATCTTCCTCCTCCTCCTGCTCCTGGTCCTCCTCCTCCTCCTCCTCCTTCTCCTCCTCCTCCCCTGCCAGACCAGAAGGCAAGTCCGCGAGGAAGCCAGGGCTAGGAGACCGGCCCGCCTACACGCGGCCCACCTACACACGGCCAGGGCGCCCCGGTCCGCGCCGAATGGGGCGCTTCTCGGCTTCATCTTCGAGGGGCAACCGGCGGGGGAAGATGGGAGGTCAGACCTTCCTTTCCAGGTTGCTCTGCTACCGTGGGGGTGGGTAAGGAAGCTGGCACATTTGCGCAACCCGCCCCGCGGCTCCCAAAGCATCCCGAGCACGCACTGTGCCAAGCCGCTGGCCGACGACGACCCCCTCCCACATTCTGGGAAGGCGAGGTATGAAGGATCTTAGCTACAAGAAGTTAGAATCCTATGCAACGCCCCTGCTCCTCAAAAAGGGTAGCCATAGTCTTGGGTTGAAACGGTGCGGCGCCAACCGATACTCACGGAACTTCGCGGCAGGATGCGGGCTCTCCATGTTATGGTCTTCACTGACTCGCGGAGCTGCAAGCGATACTGGCCTCCTGGCCATGGGCTCCGGCCAAGAAAACACGAGAAAGTTCGTCCGAGCCTTCAATGCGAGTGTCGTAGACGCTCTCCGAAATACACGAGAACCAGCCCGCCCTCAACCATGAGCTCAGGTATCCTATAATTCACCGTTCGCAGTGCGCAGCTCAGCCGCTGCAAGCCCAACCCCTACCATGCAGCCAGCCCTGCGCCTGCGTTCTGGAACTTTGCGGAAAACAAATACAGAAAGAGAAGGGACACTGAAACGCGAGCATGCAAGGATGTGCAAGTGCGAAATCGAATCGACGAGGGATAGCATGTTAAGACAACAAAACACCAAAGGATGAGGCACAGGGCAAAGACGCTGGCGTTAAAACAAATATTTTGCAAGCAGATACGATGCATGAGTGCGGCGAGGGATTCGAGGGCAAGCCTCTGGGCACAAGAGATGATCCCAGTCTTCCTGAGTGAATCCTTGTGGCGTTCCGGAAAGGTCCATCCTCTCCCAGGCCCGAGCACGACCAGAGCTTTTTCCTATCCCCCTGGAGAGGGCGAGTGACGTAGACGCGAGAGCAAACGTCCGTGTGCCCTGCACTTCAGAGATGGCGACCGTCAAAACAAGATGCTGACTACTCTGATGCCCAACGCCCGCGGGCCCTCAAGAAACGCATTTCGTCTCTTGAGGCCAGTGCGCAGTCTTGCCAGGCAACTCCCATTCGCACACCCTGCTGGACACGATTTCTTTCAGGGCCCGTCGTTTCGGACTGGAGCGTCGCGCATGAGCCAGACAAGTCAGGCCGAGCAGCTAGGGAGGGAGTTGCGGACACAGGTAACGTGTGGCCCATTGTGGACAGCGCAGAGTTATTTCGCGGCGGACAAGGCGCCAAGGAGGAATCGAAGACCACATACATATTCAGTCTAAACAGAACAGATCACAGCACAGCAACAGACTAGGGAAAAACCAAGGGCTGATGCCGATGGGAAGCGAGGCAGCACTCCACCAGAGGACAGGCCACAGCACTTAATTGCTACATTCTAAAGAACCTGGCTGCTTCACTACCTAATCTTCGTCGGGGCACCCCCGCATAATCTCATAAAACTGGTCAGGCTCTATGCGGCCATCTCTTGCATCGGCTTGCTCGAACATGTCATCCAGTTCCTCGCAAGGCCGGAGGGACAGGAAGGCAAAATAGTCGGGAACACAAATGTATGAAAATACAACAACGCGACAGACCGTGCGGCGAACGAGGTCCATGTCCGACGAGGGTGGTGGCGGACGGCGAAGGCGGAGACGCCGAGATATACGAGGATGGAGAGAGACAAGGTAGAAGAAGAGAAAGAGAAAGAGAGAGAGAGAGAGAAAGAGAGATAGAGAGAGAAAGAGTGAGGAAGAGAGACTGGAGAGAGCGAGAGAGAGAGAGAGATAGAGAGAGAGAGAGAGAGAAAGAGAGCAAACAAGAACACGGGGGGCAAGCGGCATGTGCCAGCAAAGGAACGAGCACATGGCTCTAGCCTTAATAAGCCTTGGAAACGACAGGGCAGATTGGTCTTCCCGTTTTCGGTGTGGTGCTGCTCCCAGTGTACGGCGCCGTCGTTTCCTCAATCCCGTCTGGAACTAGCGTGGACTATATTTGGCGCATCTGGTTGGTACATGGCGTCGGCGTTACGCTCCCCTTGTTGTCACATACCCTGGCCTGTCCCTGGAGCAATTCGCCATTTCGTTTCTGCTTTCGGTTAGTTCTCGAACTGGTTCTGAGCGCCCATCGGGCACCAGAACCCCCGAGACTCCGGTCGCCCACATTTCTCCAGTTCCGTAAAATGTAGGAGTGTTACTTTCGCGATTATTTGTAGTTGTCGTTGTCGTTGATGTCCTGTCTTGGTGAGCCATTGCTTCACCTTTTTCACTCTGCAGGAACAGTTTTTTCGCTATCCGCCGCCCCTTAGGCGTGTAGAGGAGGCTGTTGTCGTCGTCGTCGTCGTCGTCGTCGTCGTCGTCGTCGTCGTCGTCGTCGTCGTCGTTGTCGCCGCCGTCAGTCCCACGGAAACTGAGGAACAAGGAAAAGGAACGTCTTGGTCAAGTCGAAAAGGGAGCCCCGCCCCTTTCTCCCGCCACTGCCGTGCGTGGGGGGACGGGCGGAGAGGTCCAGGGTCTACGGGGCGGGAAAACGACCACAGCCACTGCTCTTCTTTTGTTGCCGCCTTCCAGCCCGCAGAAACAGAGCAGTGATTGTGGTCATTTTCGTGAGCTTGGCACCAGGGAAATGACCACAACCACTGCTTCTTTTTCGGCCGGCTGGAAGGCGGCGCAAACAAGAACTAGGGCTCCCAACTTCGCGCTTCGCGCTGCGCGAAGCGCGAAGCGCGAATAACTTCGCGCTCTCGCGCCGCCCTCCCAAAGGGAGAATAGGAGGACGAGGAGGAGGGGGAGGAGGAACGAGGACCGCGAAGCGCGAAGCGCGAATAACTTCGCGCCCTCGAGGGAGCCCTTGACAAGAAGCAGTGGCTGTGGTCATTTTCCCGTCCCACAGGGTCAGAATACCGCATCCCCCGCGGTCCCGGCGGGTCCCGGGGAGGGGTCGCCAGCGGGGGAGCCCGGGGGAGGTCCCGCTGTATAGGGTCGGCGGCACCGACCGCAAGGCCCTCGCAGGACACGAAAAACAGCAAATGCCTTGACGGTTCCAGGACACCTGCTTCCACGAGAGCGCCGCGTCCGAGCGGAATCAATGTTAAAGAATGCCTGCACTGCTCCCTGCTTGAACCCCGGGCTTCAATCTCACTGCGCCTCGAGCTCATTCTCGACTCAGCGAGCGCAGTTCGCCGATGGCACGGAGCCAATATTGCACTTTCGATGGCTGAGGGCCTGCGGAGCACTGCCAGCGATACTACTCCAAGCACAGCGAATGAAGCCACTCGAGCTCAGCACCAGCCAGCAGAATGACAAGCGCAGGGAAATGCCCGCGGACATGTTTTTTTCGAAGGAGCGCGATCCACCGTCCCCGGTCGGACAAAATATAGGAGGGGTCCTGCCCCTCCCCCCAGCCGCCGCCGCCGGCAGACAACGTCGACGACGCCAACCACAACGACAACGACAACGACGGAAACGACGACGACGACGACGACGCCGACGACGACGCCAGCAAACGACGACAACGACGACGACGACGACGATGGCGACGGCGACCGCGGCGGCGGCGAAGACAGTGACACCAGTCGACGAAGACGACGACGACGACGACGACGACGACGACGACGACGACGACGACGACGACGGCAACGACGACGGACGACGGACGACGACGACGACGACGAGGCCGCTGGCAGCCCATCATCACCATTTTCATCATCACCATTACCATCACCATCACCATCATCACCACCATGCCTTTCATCCTCGTCCTCATCCTCAGCACCATCATCGACATCACCACCACCACCACCACCACCGCCGTTATCATCAGCATACGAATCGTCATCCTCATCCACATCACCATCATCATAATCATGTGTATAAGCATCATCATGCTCGCCCTCACCATCGGCATCGTCGTCATCAGCATCATCTTCCTCGTCGTCATCATCAACGCCGTTAAAGTCCTCACCATCATCGCCACAATAAGTTTCATCGTTACCAGCTTCGTCATCATCATAGTCATCACCACTATCACCATCATAGCAACCATCACCAGAGTCTTCCACATCGTCATCCCTATCCCCATCATTAGAATCATCCTCGTCATCATCGTCATCCCAATCATCATTCCCATCAGCAGCATCGTCATAATCGTCACGTATGCATCACCATCACCATCATCATAATGGTCATCGGGATCGGAATCGGCATTATGATCAGCATCCTGACCCTCATCATCAGCCACATCATCATCATCATCATCATCATCATCATCATCAGCATCATCATAAGCAGAGCCATCGTCATCACCATCCTCATATTACAATCATCACCACCACCATCATCATCGCCATCATCAGCATCATCATCATCACTATCATCACCCCCCTCGCCATATTACCAGCGTCGTGATGTTCATTATCACCCATCCTCAATGTCATGACCATCTCAATGGCATCTTCGTCATTGCCATCCTCATCAGCATCATCACCACCACCGTCATCATCATCAGCATCACCATCATCATCATCATCCCCCTCACCATACTAGCATCGTCGTCGTCATGCTCATCATCGTGCCCATCCTCAGACCCAGTCACCACCATCACCATCACAGTCAGAACCATCATCATCGGCAACATAAGTATCATCGGCATCAACAAGAATATCGACAATAATATCATCAACCGACCCATCGTCGCCATGATCGCCATCACCTGCATCATCATCCATACCTCGACGACATGAATCGCTATCAACATCGGGCTGGCGGATCCTAACGGGCAAGTCGGGTCGGTCTGGCAGACCCTGACGGGCGGTTCTGGTCGGGGGGCGGAACATCAAAGTACGACGCGTCATCAAATTGGCGCGCGCAAGCCCTAACGGACGGGTCGGTTTGGGCGGGCGGACTCCAGCGGGCAAGTCGGGTCGGGTGGGCGCACCCCGACTGGTGGGTCTACGGGCTAGCGGATCCTAGCAGACGGGTCGGGTCGGGCGGGCGGACCATAACGGATGTGTCCAGTCGGGCGAGCGGGTCATTGAACTATGACGCATCATCGAGCCAGCACGCGCGAGCCCCAACGGGCGGGTCGGGCCTGGGTGGGCCGAGCCTCACGAACGGGTCTGGTTGGGGGGGGGCGGACCCTAACGGGCGGGTCGGGCTGGGCGGGCGGGACGTTAAAGTATGACGCGTCATCGGGTTAACACGCGCGGGCCCTAACAGGCGGGTCGGGCGGGCGGACCCTGGCGGGCGGGTCTGGTCGGGCGAACGGGACATTAAAGTATGATGCGTCATCGAAATCGCACACGCGAAGCCTAGCGGGCGGGTCGGGACGGGCGGGTCGGTCGGGTCGGGCGTGCAGGCCCTAACAGGGACGACGACGAAGGTCTCTGGAACGCCACCATCATCAGCATCCTCATCATCATCACCACCACCACCACCATCATCATCATCATCATCATCATCATCATCATCATCATCATCATCATCATCATCAACATCATCATCATCATCATCATCACGACAACCACCACCACCATCGTCGTTATCATATCATAACTGGACCATCGTCATCATCACCATCAGCACCGCCACCACCATCATCCTCATCCTCCACACTACCATCACCATCAGCATCATCATCGCCATCATCCTCATCGATATCATCATCGATAGCATCATCATTTTCATCAGCATTGTCTTCATCACCATCATCATCAGCAGCAGCATGATCATCATCATCATCATCATCAGCCGAATATCTTTTTCGTCATCAGCATCATCACCATCATCATCATCATCATCATCAGTATCAGCATCTGCAACATCATCATCAGCAGCATCCTCATTGTCATCCGCATACTCTGCATCGTGATCAGCACCATCCTCGTCCTCATCGTTAGCACCATCTTCCTGCACCTCCTCATCATCAGCATCATAATTAGCAGCCTCGCCATCATCATTCCCATGAACACCATCATCACTCCCCCATCATCACCACTATCATCATCACAATCAGTATCATAATCAGCATCTTCATCATCATCAGCATCAACATCGCGTTCGTCAATACTAACATCATCAGCGTCGTCATCGTCATCCTTATCGTCATCATCGTCACCAGCATGATCATCATCGCAATCACCATCATCAGCAGCATCGCTTTCGTCAGTACCATCATCATCATCATCATCAACATCGTCATCGATATTCGCATCCTCATCATCACCAGCATTATTATCATCACCATCGCCAACTGCACTGTCACCATCATCACAATCGTCATCCTCATCATCAGCAGCAGCATCACAATCCTCAGAATCAGCATCATCATGGCCGTCATCATCGACATCCCCATTATCATAGTCATAATAATCGCCATCATCATCATCATCACCACCAACACCAACGCCATCATTATTTTTATCATCATTCTCTTCCTCCTCCTCCTCCTCATTATCACCATCATCATCAACATCATCCTCCTCATCCTCAGCCTCCTCCTCATCATCATCCTCATCCTCATCCTCATCCTCATCCTCATCCTCATCCTCATCCTCATCCTCATCCTCATCCTCATCCTCATCCTCATCCTCATCATCATCATCATCATCATCATCATCATCATCATCATCATCATCATCATCATTGTCGTCCGTCGTCCGTCGTCGTCGTCGTTTGCCGGCGGCGACGTCGTCGTCGTCGTTGTTTGCCAGCGGCGGCGGTGTCGTCGTCATCGTCGGCGTCGGCATCGTCGTCGTCGCTTGCGTGCGGCGGCGGTCTTGGGGGGAGTCGGGGGGGTGGGTTCTGGGCCCTTCAGAAAATCTTCCGGGGAAAAGGGGGGGGGTTCTGAACCCCACCGAATAATTGTTCAGCGCCCTTCTAACAGGTACTCCACTAACGGGTACTGTGGCCAGTGCCCCAGCGAACCCAATCCTCACCGACGTGGACAGCGTTGCCAGAACGAGGCCCTAAAATGGCAACTTTCGGCAACTGTCCGAAGTACCCGTTGGCGAGTACCCGTTACGGTGCCGCTGAATCGTTCGGAAAGGGGAGGGGGCTGGACCCCCCCTCCTCCCCTCGTCTTGGGGGCGGGGGGGGGCCTAACCCTCCCCCGCGCCCCCCCACCCAAGCAGCGTCAAAAAAGCGCTCTTTCAAACGTTTCATGGCTGAGGTGCGCCTGTGCCAGTTCACCAAGACCTTCATGGCACAGGCGACATTTGGACCCACTGGGATGATGCCCCGGAGCGCGCGCACAATGACACAATGCAAAGCGATACTCCTCCGAGCGATGTCAACATGAAAGCAAGGAGAACACATAAACGCCGGGCTTCCCCAAGTAATCCTCCTCGCTGATGTCCATACCAAGGTCGTCGATCATCTTTCGCAAGTCCGACTTGCTGAAGAAATTTTCTCCGAGGGCAAAATATACAATTCATCAATAGGCTCGGCGCAGGGCGTATACACATGAAACCACCCCGCTCGAACACACAATCACTCCAACAAATTGACGAATGACACACCACATGAAGCTGCGGTTGGAAAGACAGGCGAAGCGAGTACCTGACAGAAGTCAGGCGTGATCAGCGTGGGTGCGATCAGGGTTGCTAATTTCGGGGTGCACCCTTGCACCGTTGCACCCTTAGCCGCTAAGGGTGCATCCCTGCACCCTTGCACCCTTGCACCGTTAGCCGCTAACGGTGCAGCCCTGCACCCTTGCACCCTTGCACCCTTTAGCTAACGGTGCATCCCTGCACCCTTGCACCCTTGCACCGTTAGCCGCTAACGGTGCAGCCCTGCACCCTTGCACCCTTGCGCCCTTAGCCTCTCTCTTTCTCATTCTGATGCTGAGCTGTGCAGGGGTCTCGTGAGGATCCCGGGGATCCCGGAGGAGGAGGAGGAGGAGGAGGAGGAGGAGGAGGAGAAAGGACCCCCCCCCCGTGCAAGCAAACATGCGCGGAGCACGCGCGGGACACGCGCGGGCGGAGGCGCGTTCCTGGGCCTCGCGGCGAGGCGGTTCCAGGGCCGCCGGGCCCCTTCTCCAGGGGGGGTCCGGGGCTTTTTTTTTGGGGGGGGGGAAGAAGCCCTAGGTGAAACGCGACCGAGATTAATTAATCTCGGTCGCGTTTCGCCCGAGACTTCTGGGCCAAAATCAACGCCCTGGCGCCCCCCTGGGGGGGGGGGGGGCCCGGGGGGGGGGGGGGGACAGGGCTCCTCCTGCCCCTCCTGCCCCTCCTGCCCCTCCTCCTCCCCCTCCTCCCCCTCCTCCTCCTCCTCCTCCTCCTCCTCCTCCTCCTCCTCCTCCTCCTCCTCCTCCTCTTATTTTCTTATCTCTCCATCTCTCTCTCTCTCTCTCTCTCTCTCATTTTTTATCACCCCTCTTTCTTCCCATGTTCCGGCGGCCGCGTGGGTCGCCCGAGCCCGAGCGCGCGGACTTCTACGGGCTTAGAGTGCCGTTGGCAACCTGGCTGGGGCCGCCGCCGGCGATCCTGCGCCACACATCCCCGTCTGACCAAATCATCTCCTGGCTGTCGTGGGTGAGGTATGCCGTCATCTCCTTGCCACCAACTGTCGCCCGCAAGCGCCGGCTCCCTCGGCAGAAAGGTCGAATGTGCCAGTCCTCGGGCTCCTGGCCGCTTGTCACCCGATTGCCGATCACCATTACCAGCTGTCCGTCCGCGCACTGCCACTCACCGTCGAAGTCCCCGCGACGGACTGCAGCTCGTCCGGCGTCTACCTGCTTCGGCGCTCCCGCGCTCTCTGTGCCGGCGCGCGGCCCCGTCGAGCCTGGCCCTTCAGCTCGGCCGCGCCCTGGCGCCTTGCCGTGGTCGCTGGGCAAATCCTCCGGTGCCTCTGGGCTCTCTTCGGGGGCCGGGGAACTGGCGGCCGCCGCCAGCTCCTCGGCGCTGGCCACGGCCACGGGGGCACGCGCCACGAGCCTTTCGGCATCGGCCACATGGCGCCGGGCCGCACCAGGATGGGCGGGAGCAGGGCCGTCGGCGGCGACTCCGTCGAACGCCGCCCGGAGCCTTGCCACGTCAACGTCCTGAACCTGCGCCGCTGGCACCCTCCGCTTGCAGTGCAGGTCCAGGACCCCCTCGGCTGGCAGCGCCACTACTGCGGCAACGATCCACATCCCATAAATTTTGCTCCAATAGTGCACCTTGTCGCCCACCGCGCGGCAAGCGCTCCTCCGACGCTCGCCGGGCATCGGGGGCGGAGCTCGCCCCGCGCCGCGCTGGCCACGGGGCTGCTGCGGCGGGTGCTCCGGCTGCCAAGCGGCGCCCCCTCCGCCTTGGCCGGCGCTCTCGGCGCGCGCGGGATCAAGCCGGGCCTGCCCGCACTTGAAACAATGGTCCTTCGTCTTGAACACCATCTCCCCGCAGCGCGGGCAGTCCCAGTCGCCTTCTCGTTTCCTCGCGCCGGCATTGCGACGCCGGCGCGGGGCTCGGCGGCCCTGGCGCACGGCGTCCCACTCGCTCTCTGGGATCCCCGGCCTGTCCCTGTAGAACTTCTCGAGATTGCCATCGCCGTCTGTCGTGACAGCGCCCCCAGAAGGGCGCCTGATGCGGCTGCGGCTCCGAGGGCAGCGGCTGCGGGACCGCGGCCCGGCGCCAAAGCTGCGGCGCGGCATCCCCGGCGCTCGGTGGCGGGGGCGGTTCGGCCCAACTGCCTTTTGAGAGAAAATGCCAGCTGCTGGCCATCCCATTGCTGCGCCCCGTTCAAAAGATTCGATCCCATCGTTTTCGCGGGAAGGCCAGAAAGCCGACGCAGCCCTCGTCTTTTTTCCGGCCCCCTCGCGGGCCCATGGCGGGGCAATGCCAATATGTGCATCTGGTCGGGGGATGCTGGGGGGGGGCATGCCTTCGACCCCGGTGTCTGCATTGTGTCGTTCGCGCCCGGGGCCAGGCGCAATGGGCTCTCGTTTGGGGGCAGGGCAGTGCATTTTGATCCAGAGCCCCCGCGGAAGAATCCCCGGCGGCGCCGCGCCGCCGCGCCGCGCCAGGGCAGTCTCGAATGCAAAGTGTGGCCATTGCTGCGGCGGCCGCGCGCGCGCGTGGCGGCCGCGTCACTCCGCACTTGACCGCGCAAGTGCCCCCCCCCCGCCTCACTCTGGCCGCGGAGGCCGCGCGGCCGCCCCGGGTCGCCGAGGCACTGGCGGCCGCCGCCAGTTCCTCGGCGAGGCGCCGCGCTACCCGTCAGTCGAACGTGTCCAAGCTGAGCCCCAGACGGTTCACCTCGGCAAGGGCGGTGGCGCCGAGGGCGTGAGCGGGCGCCCGATAGAACGTATAGGCCTTGGTTCGCTTCGTCGTCGGCGGCGCCTCCGCCTCCGCGCTCTCAGCGGCCCTTTTCTGCCCGGCAGCGCAGGTCACCTTCAGGAGGCCGAAGTCCTTCAGGTCCGCGATGGCGGCGTGCATGGCGGAGGCCCGGCCCTGCGAGTTGGCCGACGATCTAACGGCGCCGAGGCACCTGATGATCTCGCGCGCGCTGCTTGCCGTCACTGGATTGGCCTCCGAGCCCTTCAGGCGGGCATCTTGGAGCAAGGCCCGGTGAATCACGTCGCGGAGAGTGGGCTGCGGCGCTGAAGGTGGGATAGCCACGAAATGCAAAAAACAATACACCCGGGACCACTGGGTCCTTGCACCGTTGCACCCTTGCACCCTTGCACCTTTACCCCCTTGTACACATGCACCCTGCACCGCTGCACCCTTGCACCGTTGCACCCTTGCACCTTTACCCCCTTGTACACATGCACCCTTGCACCGCTGCACCCTTGCACCCTTGCACCTTTACCCCCTTGTACACATGCACCCTTGCACCGCTGCACCCTTACACCCTCACACCCTTGCACCCCTTACACCCTTGCACCCTTGCGCCCTCGCACTTAAAACCGCAACGGCACATAGAACAGGAGGGGGAGGGGGAGGAGGAGAAGGAATCTGGAGAAGCGGCAAGGACGGGGCAAAGAGGACGAAGAGAAACTGGGGGAGGTGGCTGTGGTTTCCGAGAGGTGTTCCGCCTGCTCCTCCTTCACTCCCTATGGTCCCCCTGTGTGTTTGACCCCTCTGGGCTCGGCGGCCGTGCAGGCTGCAATTCACTGGGGCGGGGAAAGGCCGCCGACTTCGAGCTAAGGGTGCAAGGGCGCAAGGGTGCAGGGCTGCACCGTTAGCGGCTAACGGTGCAACTGTGCAAGGGTGCAGGGCTGCACCGTTAGCTAAGGGTGCAAGGGTGCAAGGGTGCAGGGCTGCACCGTTAGCGGCTAACGGTGCAACGGTGCAAGGGTGCAGAGCTGCACCGTTAGCTAAGGGTGCAAGGGTGCAAGGGTGCAGGGCTGCACCGTTAGCGGCTAACGGTGCAACGGTGCAAGGGTGCAGAGCTGCACCGTTAGCTAAGGGTGCAAGGGTGCAAGGGTGCAGGGCTGCACCGTTAGCGGCTAACGGTGCAACGGTGCAAGGGTGCAGAGCTGCACCGTTAGCTAAGGGTGCAAGGGTGCAAGGGTGCAGGGCTGCACCGTTAGCGGCTAACGGTGCAACGGTGCAAGGGTGCAGAGCTGCACCGTTAGCTAAGGGTGCAAGGGTGCAAGGGTGCAGGGCTGCACCGTTAGCGGCTAACGGTGCAACGGTGCAAGGGTGCAGAGCTGCACCGTTAGCTAAGGGTGCAAGGGTGCAACGGTGCAGCCCAAAAATTAATTGCGCCCTGATTGCCCCTATAATGGAAAAAAGAAGATGGCTTCGAGAGAACCTACACGCAAAATCGAGGCATGCTCGGTAACATCAGACTCGAAAACAATGTCTTAAACATAGACACTACAACTTCCCCGGGTAACCCGCAAATTAGAAATCCCGACCTGGGTCGTTCCTACCAACTCTGACGATACATTATTGTTCAAGGGAAGCCGTGTGAATCGATGGATGTCTGGAATGCATGGAGGGTGGTAACAGAATGCCCGCACTGACAAACCCAATATCTCTCTGTATAAAATGCCAATGGAGACCAAACGCCTTCCCCCGTGCTGAGCGGTAAACGGGAGCAGCACGGCACGTGAACGCCAAAGGAGACGTGACAGTGATAGGCAATACTTAGTGGAATATTTGCTTTTGAGCATCGCCCTCGGAGTGCTCCAAGAGATGCCGAGTTTGGCCAACCCCTGCAGCCGCACCTGACAAGGAACGTCGTACACTCATCGTTTCTCTACATGCTGCATGGATACGATTGCGAAATCTGGCAAGTTGCCAGAAATGACGCCAATGATTTACCAGGACCACCCAACAATAAGCGGACCAACAGCAGGGTGTCCCAACCCCCGTTCCACCTGACTTACACGGTGGTCGTTGAGGAAACGTCAACGAAAGATGCAATGGGAAAGCGGCTACGCACCTTCAGTGTACAAGGCACTCGC